AAAAAAAAAAAAACAAAACAAAACAAAAGGCATGGCTCAGCACCTGTGGCTCAAGTGGCTAAGACGCCAGACACATACACCTGAGGTGGCAGGTTTGAATCCAGCCGGGGCCTGCCAAACAACGACAGCTGCAACCAAAAAATAGCCTGGGTGTTGTGGTAGGTGCCTGTGGTCGCAGCTACTTGGGAGGCTGAAGCAGGAGACTCACTTGAGCCCAGGAGTTGGAGGTTGCTGTGAGTCACAGCACTCTATGAATATGAATCTTGAAATTAATAAGGCGGACAGATTGAGGCTCTGTCTCAAAAACAAAACAAACAAAAAAAAACAAAAGGCATATAATAAATACAAGAGCCAGCTTCAAGGGGGCCTTTACTAGTTAAATCTAAGACAATCTGAGTAACTAGGCCAATTACAAATTACTGGTGAGGGGAATAATCTGTAAGTCCATATTGGTAACAAAAAAATAAGGAGGGAGGGCTCTTGCTTACAGGAGAATACCAAGTGCCAAGTAAATGTGAAAGGAGTGCTAGAAATGAAAAATCATCATTTAGTAACCATCAGAATAAAGGCAAGAGTCATCAACAGATACTAAATCTACAGGGAAAATATGATAGAGTATAGTATTTGCATGGTCTCAAAGTTATCTCCCCGTATTATTTATTAGCTGCAAGGGAAAAAACAGTAACTATAATACAGTGGAAACGCTGGACACCACCTTGACTCAGGGACTAAAAGTCACATCATCAATAGGCTGGGAGTGGTGGCTCACACCTGTAATCCTAGCACTTTGGAGCCAGAGGCAGGTGGATTGTCTGAACTCAGGAGTTTTGAAACCAGCCTGAGCAAGAGTTTGACTCTGTCTCTAAAAACAGCCAGATGTTGTGGCAGGCACCTGTAGTCTCAGCTACTTAGGAGGCTGAGGCAAGATAATTGCTGGAGCCCAAGGGTTTGAGATTGTTGTTGAGTGGGATTCTACCTAGGGGGACAAAGTAAGACTATCTCAAAACAAAAAAACAAAAACCCAAAAAAACAGTAACATCATTGCTAAGAGGAAGATGGACCTCATATGCCTCCCAGCTGTGAGGTCCTCATATCACTAATGCAGTATTTTTCAAAAATAACAATGTTATGGGCAGCGCCTGTGGCTCAAAGGCGCCAGCCCCATGTGCCAGAGGTGGTGGGTTCAAAACCTAGCCCTGGCCAAAAAAACTGCAAAACAAAACAAAACAATGTTATGACAAAAGCAGCTGTAAAAATGATCCTCTCTAAAAAGGAGACTAAAGAGACACGGCTATGCAATACCTGATCCTAAATTAGATGCTGTACTAGAGGTAAAAAGATGCTACAAAGAACATTTCTGGGTCAATGACCATAACTGGAAAATGGACAATTATTATATATTAATGTACTGTGATTATTTAAGGTAACATCCCTATTCTTAGAGAGTACACATTGAATTCAGAGGTAAAGAACCATGATATACAAAACTTTACTCACAGGAAAAAAAAAGCACACAGAGAGCATAAAAGTACAAATGATAAAGCAAAATGTTAACAATGAAATTTCAGGTAAAGGTTCTCTGTACTGCTCTTATGGGGCAACTTTTCTGTAAATGTGAAATTATTTCTAAGTAAAACATTTTAAAAGATAATTTACCATTAAATGAATATAAAGTTAAAACCATAATCCATTCACAAATAACTGAAAATTTTTAAATTTCCCTGTAAGAATTATTCCTACCCGTAGAGTGAAACACTATATGGCAATTATAAAGTATATTAAATATTTATTAATAAAAGATATTCAAGATTTACTCTTGGGTGGTACCCGTAGCTCAGTGGGTACAGCACCAACCATATACGCTGAGGCTGGAGGGTTCAAATCCAGCCCAGGTCAGCTAAAATAACAATGGCAACAACAAAAAAAATAGCCAGGCATTGTGGCTGGCACCCGTAGTCCCAGCTACCTGGAAAGCTGAGGCAAGAGAATGGCTTAAGCCCAAGAGTTTGAGGTTGCTGTTAGCTATGATGCCACAGCACTCTACCCATGGAGACAGCTTGAGATTCTGTGTCAAAAAAAAAAAAAAAATTACTCTTAAAGAGAAAAAATAACTTATCAACATTATATGATAACCCATTTTAATTTAAAAGGCTTATTTATATACAAAGGCTAGATGGGTATTGAGGTAGATCTAGTTTATATGTGCCCGGGATTCCTATCCCAACCCAGGCCTTAGCTGCCCATCAGTGGAGAGTTTCAGTCTCCTAATGTCTGTGGTTGTTTCTGCCTACCCTTGGGAGTACATTCAGGTCAGATCTGTGAAGATCCAACAAGGGAGGCTAAAAGCCGGCTGACTGCTTCAGAGAGTGGGGGTATTAGTCCCCAGAGTGACACAATCAATAAACTACCAAAAACAGATGGGCACCAGCAGACAAATCCTCTCCATTCCTCTCCACTCTGATTTTTCTAAGGCATGGTGGGCCCACAGAATCTGTCTGAAAGTTATCTAACGTGACTACAAACCAGCCATGTCTTTTTTATAAAGCTATAACCAGCTTTTCCCCTCACTCTTTCTCTCAGACTATACCTCCCATGAAAGCCTTAGCAGCTCAGACTGCCTGCTATATTCTAGGAAACCAGGGCTAATACAAGTACAGAGGGTGCCCCCAAAAAAGTATACACATTTTAAAGAAGGAAAAAACTGTATTAAAATTGTAATACTCAATATATACCAATATGTTTGGTATCTTATATATTGTTATCTTGTACCTCCTCTATTGGTAGCAGTCAAACATGACTTGAGTATTACAATTTTATTTTTTCTTTTTGCTTTCAATTTCTGCTGGCTTTCACTTTATCTTGGTTTGAAGTTTTTTTGTTTTTGTTTTTTTTTTAACTTCTTCCTCCTATAGTATTCTCTTGCCCCCCCATGTATCTAGGATCACAAGGTCCGGCTGGGTTTTTTTGGTTGTTGTAGAGACAGGGTCTCACTCTGGCTCACTCTGCCTCATGCTGGTCTTCTGCTGGTCTCGAACTCAGCTAAGCTCAGGCTATCCACCTACCTTGGCCTCCCACAGTGCTGGGACAACAGGTGTGAGCCACCACGCCGGGCCAAATATTACAATTTTAATAGATAGAATAAGATCTATTGATTGAATAACCAGGATCTTACATGCTGCCTAGGCTAATCTCAAACTCCTAGCCTCAAACAACCCTTCCACCCCTAAAGTATCAGGATTACAGGTATGAGCCACCTTGCCCTCCTGAGGTACCTGTTTTTAAAACATGCTTAATCAATGAAGTCATGTTAGGTTTACTTGTTTAGTTACAGCAACAGAAAGAACACTTAACACAATTTTCCTTTGTAACAGTAATTGTTAACAATGCCAATGATGTAACCAAAACAGTGAAATGGACAAAACAAAAATATCTGACAGACCTTATAAACATAATGTAATCACTCTAGATAATGGTCACCATTTTACAGATCATTTATAAAATTATACAACTGAAATATTAATGTATTCATCCATTTTAACTTGTGAGTTGGTGAAATAATACACAATACCTGCTTAGGAACAGAAGCTGTCATCTATTGGGATTCTGCAAACCTAACTGGTTTCAAGGTGTAGAAACATGATCATCTTGTGTTACCAAGACGTTCTCAACAAAAAGATGTATTTGTCAACTTTTTTCTAGAATAGGTACTTTTGGTATCATTCATTAAATTCTTGAGTTTTCTAGCAATGTCCCTTGCCAACTGGCCAAACTGAAGCATCTACACTTTTTAACAAATTCATATAAATTGGTTGTTATTATACTAAGGGGAAAATTCTTTAAACTGGAAATTGTTTTTTGTTTTTTGGTTTTTTTTTGAGACAGAGCCTCAAGCTATCCCCCTGGGTAGAGTGCCGTGGCATTACAGCTCACAGCAACCTCCAACTCCTGGGCTCAAGCGAGTCTCCTGCCTCCGCCTCCCAAGTAGCTGGGACCACAGGCGCCCGCCACAACGCCCGGCTATTTTTTGGTTGCAGCCATCATTGTTGTTTTGGCGGGTCCGGGCTGGGGATTCGAACCCACCACCTTAGGTGTACGTGGCTGGCGCCTTAGCCGGTTAAGCTATAGGCGCCGAGCCTAAACTGGAAATTGTTAATCCCTCCTGAAAACATTTCCATGCAGTTACCATGAACTAATACTATAATTAAGGACAGTCTTCGGGCAAAAAAAAAAAATGTAAATCTAGTAATTGTTCACTTTTTTACATTTCCAAAGATTTTGATGAAAATCAGAAAGCATCTGTAATTTAAAACATAATCAAAATCCCAATATAATCAAGCTACCCTTACGGCATATCAATTTAATTAACTGACTCTTCAGTAGCTATAATTTAAGGGAAAAAAAGTTTTCTTTATTCCCAGCTACAAGGCTGCAAGGAAAAACTTGCCCATTTTATTTATTTTACACAAAATAAAGTATGATTCTCTAAGGGTCTTCTGAGGACATTAGCATTTAGTGTTTCCTCTTATTTTCCATACAAATCTCACCATGATATGGACTATGTTGTGTTACCCCTAAATTCATAATGTTGACACCCTAACATTATGGAGATGGGGGCTTCTAGGAATAATATGGGCTAGATGATGTTATGAGGGTGGGACTATGTGGGTACTCAGTTAGACAGCAGCTGTCTATAAGCCAGAAGAGAGCCCTCACTAGAAACCAGCCATGGTGGTTATCATGATCATGGACTTCTACCCTCCAGAAGGGTAAGAAAATAAATCTGTTGTTTAAGTCACCAGTCTACAGTATTTTGTTATGGCTGCCCTAACAAACTAATACATTCCATAAAGAGGACGCTAAACAGTAGAACTGTTTCAACGGCAGTCTGTTTCTCTGGTGTCTAGAAGTACTCATATTTCATCTATCCTTTAAAAATTTAGCAGAATGTCAGAAAAAAAGTTTGTTCGCTGTATCAGCAATTGGACATTATAATCTGAAGAATCTATAATGACTAAATATTGTTAACGGCAATCACCATTAGCCCTTTATGTTCACACTTTCATATGCTTTCCCATTTAATCTTCCCAACAACTCTACATAACAGGTATCAACTCCTCTTACAAATGAGAAAACTGAAGTTTCTCAGTAAGCTGGAAAAAGAATAGAACAAACTAATTTGTGTATAAAGATTGGTCATCTCTAAAACACATCAGTGGTGAACATTTTAATCAGGATATAAGAATAACAGAATAATTCAAATGCTGAATTTATTGTCATTCACTGTAAGTTTAAACCTATTAAAATGCTCTCATGCACAAGGCTACCCCAATAAAAATGTTTACCTAACTTATGATAGTATTATCCAAACATTTTAAATTTACAAAAGCAATTCACCAGGCAATAAAAGAAGTTATTTCATACAGAAAAATACAAACTTACTTAATATTCAAAGACAATTCTTGTCTCCTTAAGCCGATATACAAATGGGCTGAATTTATCCATAGAGACTATACATCTAATCTAGTGAACCAGGAACACTTACCAATAACATTATGTTTTGAACTGAAGGGATCTACAATTGTTTGATCTCTGTAACTTCGAAAACCTTGGATAATCACCTGTTAAATAAAAGATACTTTTGAGAACACACACACACACAATGGACTCACTTATAAACACTTTTCTCTTGCATTTCTTTCATTTCTTGTCTCTCACTGAAAACAAGATAAAAACTTTCAATTTCATGTAGCGAAAATTCATTTTGGAAAGTAGTGATTGGCTCGGCGCCTGTGGCTCAAGTGGCTAAGATGCCAGCCACATACACCTAAGGTGCCGGGTTCGAATGCAGCCTGGACCCGCCAAACAACAATGATGGCTGCAACCTAAAAATAGCCGGGCGTTGTGGCGGGCGCCTGTGGTCCCAGCTACTTGGGAGGCTGCGCAAGGAGACTCGCTTGAGCCCAGGAGTTGGAGGTTGCTGTGAGCTGTGAAGCCATGACACTCTACCCAGGGGGGTAGCTTGAGGCTCTGTCTCAAAAAAAAAAAAAAAAAAGAAAGTAGTGATTAAAAATCTGCTAAAAACAGTCCTTTTAACAGTAACTTCTGCCAGTGCAGTTATAGTTAGTGATCTCCTCGGGTTCCAAGTGAAGGGCCCCGCAGGTGGTTAATGGAACACTAAACACTGCAGTGCTACAGGAGAACTGTATCGAGCAGGCAGACTGCTCCCAGCTTTCCTGACTCCAAGCCCAGGGAGTGGGCTTGGCACACCTGCCAGCCAGAAAAAGCCAACGTTCCAAAGGAGTGCTCAGAGTCCCATATATCCGACAAAAAATCTTTCCAAATGCTGTGAATGGGCTCATTTTTTGGTGGACCCTCGCGCGGGAAGACCATTTTGACAGAAGTAAACAACTGTAGGAGGCGGGGCTCCACGTTACCCCCGGAGGAGGGTCCCTGTGACTCCGCGGGCAAATCCGAGGAGAGAGGCCCCGGGTTACAGCTGACACCCAGCCGCTGCCCCGCGGGGTGCCCCCGGGCTAGAGAGGCCGCCTTTCCACCCGTCTCGCGCAAATGGCCCGAGCGAAGCCATCGCTGCAGGACAGCACAGCCCTTCCCGCCCGTTGCCGCCCCGGCCAGGTCCCAGCCGCCGCTCCCCTCGGGCTGCCCGGGAAGGCCCGGTCGTCCAAGTGGCCCGCCCCGCGGGCCCCTCCATATCTCTCCCAAGACCAAATGAGGGGAGGCCCGGGCTGCAGAGAAGCGCCCCAATTCTCAGGGCACCCCGCAGTCCGGGCGCTAGCGAGCCTAGGGTCTTTCCTCTCCCCCAGAGCCCCGGCCCAGCCCTGGTCCACCCCGCCGCGAGAGGTGAAAGGCCGCGCGGGTCACGCGACGACACCCCCACCTCAAGAAGCGGTTGTCGCCGGCCCAAGAGGAGTAGGAGGGGCGCGAAAGCCTTACCTGCTTTATGTACATGGCTCCGCGCCCCTCGCTGGGTGGAAGCCCTCCTCCCCCCGGAATACCAACAGCGCGGCCGCAGGGTCAGGTGAGGCGCCTGCGAGACCCCTCCCCCACGGCTCCGTTCGCTCCGCTCCAGCCAAACAAAATGGCGGCGCCCGTAGAGGTGGAGCCCGCGCCTCGGACGGAACCACCCGCTCAGCCCGTACAGGGAGTGGGGGGAATTAGGTTCAGGTCGGCTCTTTCCTCTGGGCAGAATTAGCTTTCTACGGCGTTATTAGGTAGACTTCGTTCTATTCTGGAACCGTATGGCTTACCCTTTCCTGAGACTTAGTTGTAAGTTTTATTCGGAGAAGCTGTGACCGTACGGTAGGCGCCTACGACCTCCGAGCGCGTAGCCAGTGGTCGCGTCCACGAGAGGGGAAAAGTTCGGCGCCAAAGCGCAGTGTGATACTCGGGAGCCAGTAGCTGAGCCGGCCGGTGGTCACGTGGTCCGTGGTTGTTTAAAAAAGCGGACCCCTGTTTTAAAATGCTTGTCCTGGAGCCCGCGGAATGCTGGTGACGGCTGGAGTTCTGAGTGTGGAATCCCTGCTGCTCCATTATTCCCCCTTGTTCTCCCTGGGAACGTTTACCGTCTTCGAACGCCCTCCACTGGCTCCAAACCGCCCCCTTGCAGGACAGCCCTAAAGGGACTTGTCTACGCTGCAAAATCCGTTTTAATAATGTGATAATTAATACCCGATAATTAATACTATTACTGCTCTACCCTGTGCTGTAAATCTAGACACGTCTGTACAGTTGCACGAAAAGAGATTTAGATGAGGCGAAAAGCTCTAAGCGTGCTCTCTCTCGCTGTCTCTCTCTCCAGCCTGGTCGCAACTCTAGTATTGGCATCAGTCGTGAGGGAAAGAAAGAAAAAAAACAAAAACATTACTTGTTTAGAATTTGGATCTCTGGTCTGCACTGCTGGGATTAGAACAAAATACCTAAACCCGCCTACCCGCCTTCACCGCCCATCCTGCTCGGGTTAGCAGTTCTGGCCTTAATTCCAGACTGAACTTTTTTGAGACAGAGCCTCAAGCTGTCGCCCTCAGTAGAGTGCTGTAGCATCACAGCTCACAGCAACCTCAAACTCCTGGGCTTAAGTGATTCTCTTGCCTCAGCCTCCCAAGTAGCTGGGACTAAAGGCACCCACCACAACGCCCAGATATTTTTGTTGCAGTTGTCATTGTTCAGCAGGCCTGGGCTGGGTTCGAACCCACAGCCTCGGGGTATGTGGCCGGTGCTATAACCACTGTGCTATGGCGCCGAACCAGATTGAACTATTTTTAATAGCGTCCTCTCTACAAAAAAATTTAACATTTAGCACAATAGGGGTGAGAGTGTGGTGGTGAAAGCACATTTAATGGAAATAAGATGGAATCTCTCAGGCTAGGGCAGACTTGACGTAGTTGATCTAGTCAGTTTGGGTCCTGCCTGACCTTCACCCCCTATCTCCCAATCTTACTGTTTCTTCCTTTCTTTCTGTTTTTTTTAGACAGAGTCTCATTTCGTCGCCCTGGGTAGAGTGCTGTGGCACAACAGCTCACAGCAACCTCAAACTCTTGAGCTCAAGTGATTCTCTTTGCCTCAGCCTCCCAAGTAGCTGGGACTATAGATGCCTGCCACAACGACTGGCTATTTTTTTCTTTTTTTCCTTTTTTTTTAGAGACAGGGTCTGTGAGTTGCTCAGGCTGGTCTCCCAACTCCTGAGCTCAGGCAGTCCACCTGCCTGGGTCTCCCAGAGTGCTAGGATTATAGGTGTGAGACACCATGCTGGCCATTCTTACTGTTTTGTAAATTTAACTCTCACCCTAAAGATGCTGTCTTGAGTAGTTTAGGTGGATTTATTTAGGAGATTAACTTTTGAATGGGAATGTTATTTTGGATCTTGAGTTACAGTGATTATTGCTTACTATGGATCATGGGTGTAGCCAGTTGTTAAGGGTTAAGCTGGTCTTCTCTTTGAACTCAAAGATATAAAACTGTAATTTTGAAAATGGAAGAACAGAACATTCTTGGAGAGGCTGCTCTCACTACTCTCCAGAATCCTGGCCTTCTGACAAAGTTTCATGGACCTATCCCTGCCTCTGCATACTGGCTGACAGTGACAGGTGGCCGGACCCTCTTGGTCTGGTAACAGTGGTGGCATACCTGCAGTTCTACCTACCAGGAAGGGTCACCTAATAGTTGGGGTTACAGTGAACTATAACATGCCCAGACCATTTAGAGACAGAGTGAGCCTCTGTCTCTAAAATAAAAACAAAAACAACAGAACTCCTTAAACATTTTACAAAGGGATTAGCGTCTACCCTGTAAATTTGTGGGGTTTTAGGCATATTACTATTCCAGTGCCTAATCTATAAAATGAGTATTATATAACTGCTTCATATTTAGAATGAAAAATGGGACATATAAGGTAATCCTGTTTACCTGTAAACAAAGTCTTGGGTCACATCCCAGCTCTATCGCTTGCTGACTTGTATGACGTGAGGAAAATTAACCTCTAAAGGCCTCAGCTTCTTTATCTATAAATGGGGGTTATAATGATAACTATGGAAATTTCTGTGCAGAGAAATGATTTATGTAAAATTACTGGCACAAGAGATAATGTAAGCTATTTTTGTTATTAGTTCATAACCAAAATTGCATCCGGCAAGTCCCTGGGAAAAGACAGCAGACAGCTAAATTGAAAGGTCAAAATGACTAGAGAAAACCGACCAAAAGACTCTGGACCCTGTCCATCATTCATTCGCGTATTCTCTCATTCATTCAACAGATATTTACTGAGCAGCTCTGGCCTGAACGTGTCTTTACAGTGTCGAGGAAGAAGCACCTTTTCCTCTGCCGTCCTATGAATTAAACTCAAACTGACACATTACTAAGAGAAAAACAGATCTTAATCACATACATACATATGGGAGTTCATGCAAAATGGGAATTCAAAGGTGTAGTTAGATTTGGGAGCATTTCAGATTACAAAACAAAACAAAAAAAGAACAGTTAGAATATGAAGCTTATATACTATTTTAATAGATGGAGAAGAGGGAGACGAGCCCTTACGGGAAGGCAGATGACTTTGCACTTAATCTAATTTGACATGTGAGTGAAGCTGTACCATCTTTGGCTGCCTTTCTCTCTCCTGGACACAATATGGTCTGTTAGCCACGGCCACAGACCCCTGTGTGTCATACATAGACTTAAACATAACAAATTTAGTTTAAAGCTCTTAACTGGCTTTTATTTCTGATTCTAGAATCAGGCAGCACCTCATTCTATGAAATAGAGTGAGTGTTCTGAGCAGCTGAGCAAAAGAGCTTGGCTTTGTAGACAGAAAAGAGCTGAAGAAAGCAGAAGCGGAGAACAAAATGTGGATTAATCATTTCAAAGTTGCTATCCTTGTAGAGGTTAAACCAGAGGAGCATCCTCATCATGCCAGCTACAACTGGCCTGTTTGGGGATTTAGCTATTTTCTCTCTCTCTTTCTCTCCCTCTCTCTCTCCCTCTGACTCGCTTGAGCCCAGGAGTTGGAGGTTGCTGTGAGCTGTGATGCCATGGCACTCTACCCAGGGGGACCGCTTGAGGCTCTATCTCAAAAAAAAAAGAATGTTGGAAAATAAAAGCATTTCTTTGAGATTTTGTTATTTTTACTAAGTATAACTTATTTTGTAAAAAGCTACTTCATGGTACAGGTGTCAAAACAAAACTTCATAGATTTCTTCAAAGAAAAGACACAGCTTTACTCGTACAAAGCAGTGGCGGCAATAGTGAAACAAATGACTATGGAAGTGATTCCCAAGAAACTAAAACTAAAAGAGTCTGTACTGGTTTTACTTGGAAGTATGATTCCTCCTAGATTGAGTTCTGCTTTGTAGCTATCAATGATACAAGTGCTAAAACTACAGTGTGTTATTCTCAGAGATGGGCTAGCTAATAAGGCTAATAAAATCATTAATCCTAGGGAGCTTTACATAGAAAACAAAGAAACAAGTTCAAAACCTAGAGAACACTTTCAAAGAAAGAACGCTGAATTTAAAAAACTGATAGGTAACAAAAAGAAAAAGAACTAAAAAACTGATAAGAGCAGGTGTTGAATATTTCATTCACAATACTAGTCATTTGTGAGTGTCATAAAGTAGCACTTGAAGATGCTAATTTTTTAAAAAGACATTACACAAGACTGTATCAAATATTTTGGAAATTATGGGTGAATCTGTGACAAAGGAAGTAGCTCAAGTATCATTTTTCACAGCCAGACAAATTCAGCAACTAGCTAATGACATGGCAGATTGATGCATAGACACAGCTAGGAAAGTGGTTTCCATTGCAAGTTGTTGATGGCCCCCATACTGCTAATATGACAATTAATTTGCTATACGTGCAATTTGAACATACTTGAGATAGGAAGACTTTTTTTTCAGTGTTATTAATGATAAGTACAACTAGTTCTGAACTTTATGAAGCTATAAAGGATTACACTGTCAAAAAATGTGATTTGAGTTTGTATTCTCTTGTAGGAATATGCAATATATAATGTGCAACTTCAAAAAAATATTCTGAAATTATTACCCAGATTAATGAGCTTAAATGACAACATAAATCAATGCACTGCTTCCTTAATGAAGAAAGTTTTACAAAGAAGAAACGTTAGCTGAACTAAACAGTGTCTAGTTACATAATGAAAAATTTCCCAGCACTTTAGAAGGCTAAGGTAGGAGGATCGCTTAAGCCCAGGTATTTGAGACCAGACTGGGCAACACAGCAAGACCCTGTCTTAAGTTTTGGGGTTTTTTTTCAAATTAGCCAGGCATGGTGGTATGTGCCTGTAATCCCAGCTACTCAGGAGACTGAGGCAGGAGGATCACTTGGGCCTAGGAGTTTGAGGTTGCCATGAGCGAAGATGTTGCTATTGCTCTATCTGGGCAACAGAGAGAGATGCTGTTGCAGGAAAAAAAATGCTAATTAGGCAAAGGCTAATACATTAAATTTGAGATTATTCTCTTTATTACAGTATGTAATAATATGTAAGCTGATCATAAGTAACTGTTATATGACAAGATACGCTCACTGAACAGAAAATTTCTACCAGGAATGTTTGACTATGAAAAAAATGTTAGTGTTTC